AGCGGGGCGATCTGAGATCATGCTAGTGGGGCGAGAGCTACGTTCCAAGCTACCAGCACGTGGCCTCCGCCAGGCTGGCTCTGTGTCGCGGTACATGCTCGCTGGGTCGGTGTAGGAGTAGCCATCACTGTTGCTCAGGTCGGTAAGGCGCGAGGGGGGCTTGCTGCTGTCATGGTAGCTGCGGCCGCCACTTGTGAGACTGTAGCCCCGGTCTGCATGGTCCCGGTGGTGGTGCGAAGAAGGCTGGACCTCAGCTACGAGCTTAGTCAAGTGGCTGGTGTCGTCAACGCTGTAGACCTTCTTGTGGCCTCGTGATGAAGCGCCTGGAGTGATGTATGTATCCGGCCCTTTGGCGTAGGAAGGGGTCAGGGGGCTCCGTGGGCGGTCGGTATGAGTGTGTGTCGAGTAGGGTGTGCGGAGGGGCAGCGAGGTCTGCGGCAAGGCACTGGTACTCACGTTGGGGCGGGATAAATCGTTGGTGTTGCGTCGCGGGCGTCCCGTGTACGAGTCGTATTTGGCGGTGGTGGAGTGCGAGGTGTGCGAGGTGGTGGGTGTGTAGTAGGGCGTGTGGTGGGATGTGTGGGAAGTGTGGGAAGTTCCGAGGCGGTCGACACTGGAGCGTGGCGAGCTGGGACGGCCATAGCTCGAATAAGACGAGGAGTAGTAGGGGTCGGAGAAGGTGCCTGTCGACGACCTGGCGGGGTTGGAGTAGCGGCTCCCTCGCGGGGACGAGGGGCGGTTGTAGCGCGTGTCCATGCCGCCTGAGAGAGTGACGGTCTTGACGTGGAGGGGAGCGGATTTGGCGGCAGTTTTGGCGGCGGGCGTGGTGGACAAGGAGTTTCGACGTGGGGGAAGGGGCGGCGCAACGGTGCTAGAATAAGTATTGTGCTTCCTCAGGCCAGGCGGCTTAGTGGGGAGGAGAACGCTGCCCAACATCGTGTCAGCCCAGTGGTCGGTTTCAGAAGTTGGGAAAGAGAGCAAATGGCACAAACGAAAGGGAATTAGAAATTAGGCCTGGCGAAGAGGCAGAACAAAGTCGCAGCTCGACGTACATAAGGGCGTTTCAACACCGGACGACAGCCGGTGGGCACAGCCAAGTTGGCTCGACGACTAGCAGCGCGAACAGGTTGGCCGATGGTTGTAGGATGCAGGATACGCCCAAGGTCCCTGGCCACGGTGGTGACAGGGGGCGGGGGTGAGGGCACGGTGTAAAATCAACGTGATATTTGCAGGTGGCTCCCAGGGTGTGCCCAGCAGGATACTATGGACTGTGTGGTGGGGACCGCGAGGCAGCGAATGAGGCGGACAAGTGCGGTGGGGAGGAGCAACGGCCGACGGGGCAGCAGATGTTGGAGCGTCGATGGGGTGCAGCGCTGGACTCGAGATGGACAGTAAGGATAGACAGCGAGGAGGGTGAGGATTCGGTCGGGTACAGAGCGTGCGCATCAAGCCGCCCACCTGGTTTCGAGGTTACGTGGAGAGAGTCAGATTGCACTATGTCATCGCCTTCGCTTGGACCCGCGCAACCCTGCAGCACGCAGCCACTCAGGTTCAGCCCTGGCTCGTGGCTCAGAAACAGGGTCCGCTTGCTGCTCTGCATTTTTGGCTTTTTCGCTAGTCGCAGGAGAGATTTACTAGCAACAGCTAAAACCGGTCCTAGCTACATGCAACTCTGCATGCACCGAGCAGTTACCACGTTCCCACACTCACGCTTCACTCTGCTGCCACTTGCACGTCAGCACGTTGGTATCCGCACGCACACTCCGACCTGTCAATAACGTCGCCCCGCTGCCTAGCATTCTCTCTAGCTGCTACAGACGCCTTCCGCCGCCCAACTGACCCCGCTTAGGCAGGATAGCCCTGTGCTACCCAACTTGACCGCCAGGACTGCCCATGGCCTCGTGACTCGTCCGGTGCGACTGCCCTGGGCGGGCCGACTCAAGCAACCCGTTCCGTTCACGATCTTCGCTGTATGAACACGTCGTACAGATCCTGATGCGCACTGTAGTTTGATCGTTGCCATCGATTGGTCTGGAAACATGGCATAGGCACGGAGCAGTCACATCATGACTTCGGCATTTCTCAGCTACCGAAACACTTCTCGCGGTACTAATCCGCCAGACGCGCCGCAACGTAAGCTCTGAACATTGGCCACCTGTTGCTTTTTGCCTTCGCCTCCTCTCTCCGATGCTCTACACATCCTCGATCTGCTCCACCCTCGCAGCCTTGCCAACGCCGCTTTTGGTCGAGTCGGCATCGTCCGTCGCGTGATGATGTCTGAGCTGCTTCGCCCGCGACTTGCTTGGGATGGTATCCTGAATACAACCCCTGATAATGCTGCCCTCGAACAACTCTCCCACAGACTCCAACCGCACCCCCTTGGTTTCAGGCACGCAGAACACCGTCCAGATACCCATGACAATGCATAGCGACCCGAACAGAAGAAACGTTCCGTACGTAATGTTGTCCAGCATCAGGGGCGTAATCTTTGCGATTACAAAGTTGAAGAGCCATTGCGTCATCAGCGAGGCCGCCATGAGCAGAGACCGCACGTGGTTGGGACTGCACTCGGACGCCAGCACAAACGGGATCGGGCCCCAACCGAATGAATAGAAGACAACAAAGAGATAGACGCAGATGATGGCAAAGATTGCGTTGCCATCAAGTTCGCCTGTGGGTGGGTGGACTGCTTGGTTGACACCAATGTAGTACATCGCAAACGCTTGGCCAATCGATCCGAGGATCAACGACCATTTGCGTCCCAGCTGCTCAGTAAATGCCATCAGGCCAATCGCTGTCACGACGATCTTGACGATACCATAAACTCCAGTTGCCTAGTTGCAGGTTAGCTCGTGATGCATGCATGCGCTCTTTACACTCTACTTACGAATAGTCCGGACGAGTTACCAGTAAGGCCAATTTGCTTGAAGATCTGAGGAGCATAATAATTAATCGAGTTTGTTCCCGTCCACTGTTGCCAGAACATAAGAATGACAACAAAGCTCGAGCGGTACAGCATCTTCTTGTTCGAGCAGGCAGCCTTGAGTTGAGCAACCATCGGCATCTTCTCGTGACCGTTGAAGTCTGCGATAATTTCATCCAACTCCTGTGTTACCTCTGGGTCTTCGACGCTCTTGCCGCGGACATGAGCCAGAGCTTTAGCGGCTTGGCTTAGCTTATTTTTCTCTACAAGCCAGCGCGGAGACTCGTTCATGAAGAGCATGCCTACAAGCAGGAAAGCGCCAGGGAGCATCTGCAGGGCAAATGGCACGCGCCATTTAGTCGAGTCCGTAGGGCTAGTAATGTCGAGGGAGATGCCGTAGTTGACGAAAAAGGACAGACAAATACCAGTCACGTTGAAAAGTTGCTGCTCCACGTCAGTCGACTGATGCAATCAAGCGGTGTAGACGACACATACCATGCACCCAATGCAGCGTCCTCGGATCGCCCTGGGCGCGTTTTCTCCAATGTACGTGGGGACGACGGCTGAAATCAAGCCAACGCCGAAACCGCCAATCACACGTCCAACGTAGAGCTGGGCAAGGCTTGTTGTACCAATCCCGCACAGGGTCTGAATCAAAGATCCAATGATGAAGATAATATCCGCTGTGATAAGTGCCCATTTACGGCCAAAGGTGTCGGAAACGTAGAAACTGGCCATGGCGCCGAAAAAACATCCTGCCTGGAGAACAGAAACGATGTTTCCCTGTAGATTGGCAAAGTTTTTGCTGTCCTTGTTGAGGTTGAATGAGTGCTGGAATGCATCCATTGTCAAGACACCTGCAATGCGGTTAGCGACGGTCATTCCATATGCACGTGCAGCAACACACCTCCGATGAGACCTGTGTCCCAACCAAACAGCATTCCACCAAAGGATGCCACAGCGGTGAGCAGGTAGGCTCGACGATACGTCTTGATGTCGGCCCACACCTCGGACATGTTGAGCTTCGCCATGATGGCAACGTGGATCAGATGTCGCAGAGAAGATGCACAGGCAAATGCGATGTGATGCGACACGACGAACGTTCAAAGTCGATGATGTCGATCAACCAAACACTGCGGCAAACATCCGAATATATATCGTCAGTTTATCCTGCGTCGCAGAGCCTAGTTAGCGAACCCCGACCAAAACCCGCTGGCAAAAGGCGACCAGTTGCCTTGGCTGTCGGCATAGTGCAACGCGACGTCGGGGATATGACGTGGGGATTCGTTCGTGGGGACTCCAGACGTGCCAGTTACAGGCGGAGAGCCCCATAGCTAGTGGGTCGGCATAGCGGATGGTAATTATCCCTCCATTCAAACGCCGTCGCTGTTATTGTGTTGAGACTTTTGTGTGCTTCCTTCGTCTGCAGTATCTATGGAGACGAGTCAAAGGTTTGCATGGCCAAGAAATAGAATGAATCGCTGGCTGTACAGTGCGGATGCAGCGTCTGCAGGAATGTGTGTGAGATGGATGCCCAGGGGGCGAAGATGCCGGGTGGCAGGCTAGGCACTTGCTTAGCGCTCCTTGTGCATCAGCTTATTTTGTGCATGTGAACACCAGAACAGCAGCCGGCATCGTCTTGGATATGCGATGCACTGCAATACAAAGACCGACTCGACCTTCAACTCACCCTTTTTGCCTTGTTCTCCACATTCCGTTCAAAGACCGACCCCAGATTCTTCACCTCCGCATCTTGCCTCCGCACGGGAGCTAGGCGATTGGAATTGCGATAGGCTTCTCATTGGCCTAGCGACCAAGTATCCATATGCCGAAGCCAGCTCGTCAGCTCCGACACTACTTGCCGTGGTCTCCACAAGCCGACATACGATCGTTAGAACAATTATAAAAGCAGTATTAGTAGCACTCTAGATGGTCGCGAAAAGATCACTCAAGTGCAACAAAGTAGACGTATGGGGTGATAGGCAGGCTACAGGCGTGCTGATATTGTTATTCTCTTCATTACTCGGGTTGGAATGCAAGTGTCTCTAATCGTGAAGTAGGATCCGTCAATCATCAACTATAGGTTCGCTTTGCCCTTCTGTTCAGGTACTTGCGTCAACAGCTTGTCGCTCTTGATAGCCGACTTCAAGTTGTCCAAAACCAGTATCTCCATGTCGCGCTGGGAATAGTTAGCTCTTGCTCACTCTCACTTCACTAGACAGAGAGGCTTACCTGTGTTTCGTATGTAGCCGTTCCAACATGAGGCAGCAATACCGCGTTCTCGCATTCCAGTAGCCCTGGATGAATCTTCGGCTCCTCCTCAAACACATCCAGCCCACATGTCCAGACCTTGCCGCTCTTCAGCGCGTCGACCAAAGCTGCCTCATCAATCAATGCACCTCGTGCAGTGTTCACAATGATCACACCATCCTTCATCGCGTTGAATTGTTCCTTGCCAATGATGTGTGTGGTAGAAGGGTTGAGCGCCAAGTTCAGGCTGAGGACATCGGATGTCTTGAGTAGCTCATCGAAACTCACGTACTTCGCACCGTTCTCCTCGCTACCCGGTAGCTGGTGACGGTTGTGGTATTGTATCTTCATGCCGAATGCTTTTGCGCGATGTGCGACCGCTGAGCCAATACCACCCATGCCTAGGATACCGAGTGTCTTGTTCTTGGGGTCGTGACCGAGGGAGAAGTTGCCGCGCCACTTGCCTGCCAGAAGTGTCAGCTTTGATTCAAAGAACGGTAAGCTTACAAACCATTGTTTACTGCCATGTAGGACTGCTTGATGTTTCGGAGCGCGCCCAGCATGAGCCAGATGGCAACATCTGCAGTCGCGTCGTTAACCGCTATCGGTGTGCTTGATACCGATATCCCTCTCTTTGTGCAGGCTGCGACGTCGATGTTGTTGTATCCCGCGCCGTTGTGGCAGACATACTTCAAACTCTTAGGCAGAGCGTCAAGCAATTCCGCGTTGAAGTCTCCGGTAATCGGATTCGAGTCGTTGCTTCGGTAAAGGGCGTATATACCGTCGAATTCACCACTCTTGCACTTTGAGAGGAAGTCTTCGCGGTTGCCATCGGGGTACTCGTGCAGCTTCGAGGCTACCTCTGAACATTGCTGCCATTCTTTCTGGGCATGTGACAGTTTGCCGATGAGAAGTGCTGCTCGTTGCGACATGGTAAACGTATGTTTGTGAAAGTGGTGACGATGTAATCGAGTACTTTGAGAGGATGGAGGGGTCAAGGAGAAGGAGTTGCCGGGTAATGCTGTCTCGAGCGCAGCGGCATTTGGTAACCTTTTATTGCGCGCTGCCCAGATCCACTGCCCCGACCGGTCTATTTCGGACCGAGCTTTGTACTATGGAGATTTCAAGCGTGGTAATTTACCTCGCTCAATTGACAGCATGGCAGTTTGCTATTTCAAGGCGTTTAAGAACTGTGCTACTACAAACATCGTGCGTCGCGATGATGCAACGCCACCATCGCGGCCTCGGCTGCCCCGCCATCGTCATTTCCCAGGTCAAATAAAAGCTCACAATCATCAAACACAGCCAGCTAAACAGAACTACATCCAGAGCACATACAGGATTCACTCTTTCTCCCCAGAACCACATGTTGTTTTCGTAGGCTCGTTCAGCTTTGCAGGTTGGAAAGGAGCCCGAACCCGTGTCTTCGGCATCTGACGCCCAAGACCATACAAAAGTTCAAACACCGACAAATCACGTGAGCACACTAACCTCAAACCCACCGACCATGACCGAAGGATGTAAGCGTCGTCTCGGCGCATCGGCAATCCATCATCTCCCGAGCCGAAACAGATGCAGCTTCCAGACTCACACCGAACGCCTTCCAGTACGTTAGGCAGCAAGGCAGGCATGGACATGCGCTGCCTACTTCTGCCTGGCTGCAAGCGAGGAGCAGAAACTCACAAAACAGGAGATGCGTGTATGCGTCGAACTCTGTTGGAGCGCCTAATGGGCGAGCACTTCAATCCTCAGTGAGCATATAAGCTCACCTCGTTCCATGACAATGTAGTATTCAAGTTCATTGGTAGTAATTCATATCTTGCACCCGGAAAATATTCATCACAAACGGAACATTGAACATGGAGCTCAAGCACGTAGCAATTCTCGGGGTATGTCTACTTACCCATCTGACTATCCTTCATCCCAGTATACCCAGACGACGTGCGAGCCTTTCAGAGTTAACGTTAGCGAAAACACAGGCAGGGGGAAACGTGGGCAACACCATTATCACCGAACTCCTCAAAGACGGAGCCCGATTCACCATCACAGCCATCACGCGCTCAACATCGTCTTACACACCACCTTTCACGGCCATTACCCACCGCACTGTAGATTACACGTCCTTCTCCTCTCTACAAGCCGCGTTTCAGGGCCAAGATGCAGTAGTGAACTGCGTCACGGGCGGTGCTACGCACTACGAACCATCCAAGCTCATCATCGACGCTGCGGTTGCTGCAGGCGTCAAATTCTTCTTCGCCAATGAATTTGTTGGAGATATCACACGCAAGGAGTTTAAAAGATTGCCGGAAGCTTTTGTAGGCTCCAAGTGCAGGATCCGGGAGTATCTAGAGGAATTGGGGATGGAAAAGAAGTTGACGTGGGCCAGCTTGAATGGAGGGCCGTTTTTCGATATGTGTAGGTTTTCCTCTGAGCATAGAGGCCTTGCTTTTCGTAAGAATAATACTGAATCATCTACCACAGGGCTCATGAAGGGACCCGCAGGCTTCGGTAAGCCATCCTATTCATATATCTAACTCACTAGTCCAATCAGCTCACTTTCCGTACCAGACATACCCAACCAACACGCTCGTATCTACGGTGCTGGAAATGAACCCTTATACTGGACCCCTCTTTCAACAATCGGCCTCGCAGCTGGCAACATGCTCCGCAACCCTCTTCCTATCGCCAACCAGCCCATTCTCATCTGTCCCTTCCCCCACCTCACGCAAAACATGCTGCTGCGCACCCTGGAAAAGCTTCTTGATACGTCATTCAGCGTTGAACATGTTGATGTGGAAAAGATTCATCGGCATGCATTAGTCGTGCTGGAGAAGTGGAAGGAAGGTGGTGAGCAAGAAGCGGGAAAAGCGCAAATGGGCAAAGCAGTGAAGGGATTAGCGATATCTAACCAGTTCTACGGAGGCGAGGACGATGTGAAACATCTTGGCCAGGCTGTTCAGAATGAGATTGTTGGTGTAAAAACTGTGCAGGTGGAGGACGCAGTAAGGGATGCGCTGGAGCACTATGGGAAAGAGTGCCAAGTTGTCCAGCGTATGTTCAATGTGGAGGCTTGCGACATCTAAATTGTACATTGCTGTCAGCATGTCGTTCAGGCTTGTGATATCATCAGCATTTCTGTGCTAGAGACGGAGACAACAAAGTGGGATGATATCGATTAGGATTAGGAGCAAAAACAAATCCCGTAAAGAAAGCTTTTGCATACTATATCGTATAATTTTTCATGTTTTACAAGCGTATAGTGAGACTGCTGGTGCTGATTGATCAGCAATACCGCTATCTATCCATTTATCGTCTGGAATGACTGCTATCAAGTGGCCCATGTCCGCATCTCTTTTACACTATGCTTCTGTACGTACGCAACGCACAACTCCAATTAGCTACCACCGTACCCGTGCATTTGATAACCGCCTTGATCTCCGGTCGGGCCTCGCTAATGTCCCAGATTGGAATCCTCAAACACCGCCGGATCCCATTCCCATTGATCGAAAGTTGCCTCGTAAGGATTTCCATAGAACAGGTTCAGTGGCTGACCGAAATCCATTAACCCAGCGTTAGGATCGTTCAGGTATTCACTTCCGGAGACATCGTCAGAATAGAAGTTGTCTGTGTTGGATTGCGAGTAAAAGTCGTTGCTATTGGATGGATCAGTGGTTGGCCATACGACACCCGACTGTTGCAACGCAAGAGGTTGACTGTACGACTGGTATTGCTGCTGCAACTCCAGGCTCGTGTCTTGTACATCGCGTTGTTGTTGATGCTGATCAGTCGGCTGTGGCTGAGGTAGTTGCCGATGGGCCGCTTCTTTTTTGCTCTGCTTATTCAACACTCTAGCCACAACGTTGTATGCGCTCTCGCTAATTGCGTCGACCGATTTCATCGAACTTAGCCATCGTATAAGCTTGTCGACGCAGGACGTGACATATGATTTTTCGACCGTCAAGTGGATGCCGTCCAGCGACAGCTCAAGAAGTAGGACCGTAAGGGCTTGCATGACTACGCATGGTGATTAGCCATGTCGATTACTATAAGATCGGACAGGCTTACTCATATGGACAGCACACCACCACGGACCGTTCTCGTAATACCATGCAGGGTTTGGGGGGTCTGGCAATATGGAGGTGATATCCAAGGCTGCGCCTATGCAGGCCCCCGCGGTTTTCTGGTTGAATCGAATCGACTCTTCGCTCTGTCCCTTTATGCGCAAATCCAACCGGCACAGACAGGGCCGAGTGATGCAGATCTTAGCGCTGTGGTAGTGTAGATACAGTAGCAGCTGCTCTCGACTCAGATCGTGCCCTGACGCAGCGGCAATTGCTGCAGCTGGACCTCGAGACAGCGAATGCAAAGCCCAGGTTTCCAATTCGTCAGATAGCGAAGCGATCTCCTTCTGCGCAGCCTTCCAAGACTTGGCAGACTTCTGCGCGGAGTATAGACCAGACAGAACTTTGTCCATAAGAATGTCGAGCCTAACGTAGGCTACATCGAATGGATCCAAACTCGCATTGGTTACGGTCCCACCGCCAGAAGATTCGGAGACCCGGCTTACTGCAGAAGATATCTCATTTTCACGCAACGGTGTCTCCATTTCAGTTCCTTTCGCGCCCGGTGGTGGTACTGTACAGTCTATCGCACTTACAGTGCGAGGACGTCCTATTATTGAAGTAAGGACACATTCAATGGAGTAAAGCGACCACCAAATCTGGGCTAGGGCCTTCCTCCTGTTAAGAGATATGGAAGGATTCTCGTGTCTAAGGTGCAGACCTGCAGCTTGTGCATGGCGGATGGCGATACCGATCATGTACCAAGCTCTGTAACCTCATCGTCAGCACGCGTACATGTCGCATAGTTGACTGGGCTTTTATGCGCACCCTAAAGGTATTCGCTGTATGTTACGTTGTCGTTTGTTATTACAAAACAAGGCGAATACCTTGAGGGTGAATTTCGCTGTGTGATTGTAGTGAGACGTACCTGCTGACATGTCCAATCGTCAGATAGTACAGAGAGAGAAGCCCGAACGCCTATATTGATATCAGAGCTTTTCATTGTGTTTTCAAAAGGAGCCTACCTGTATCGTTGTCTGATCCGGTTGCGTGACTAAGGTATTGATGGACTGAAGCTGCAATAGATGTACTGCTCTCCACATATACACTAAGTGGTCGTGGTCGTCGGCCCGCCACTCTGCACCGATGAGATGTGAGTAGCGTGCACCGATGGCGAAAACGAGGTTCATAACAGCTTTCCACTTTGGACATACGACCAATGTAGCACTACTTTGATCTCTCTTGAAAAACGCGTGCAGCTGGTGTTCGAAACTGTCACCTAGGATTGGGAATGGGCTGTGTACGACCGCTTTATAGTACTCGAAAAGACGATCGGCCGTATCAGCAGAAGGTATGACATGTGGGTCACCGATATCGATGTCGATGTTGGATTTGTCAAGATAGAAGTAGTAGCCGAGGAATTGGTCATTGTCGGATGATTGCCGGTTGTCGCTGTGCTGTTGACGCCCATGGAGTGCTTTAGCACGCTGATTGAAGGCATCTCCCCCTGCCCCAGGCGGCCCATATGAAATATCAGAGGACTCGCCTTCAGGATGTTCGATCTTGGTTTCGAGGGCTCGGAGCCATTGGACTTGCGAGTTGCGACCCACGTAGCCCATGTTACCTGCGTCTTCGGTGCGCAAAATGTCCTCCTGGACAAAATCCAGGTCTTCGTTGGAGCCGACAGAAGCGGAGACGTGAGCTTCTCCACCCTCTGCAGAGGTGGTACTTAGAGCGTCGTCATTGGCAAGAGATGATGAAGCTCTCCTTGCCCGCTTTCCACGTGATAGCGCAGGAGTTGGTGGAGGAGGAGGCGTGTCATCTTCGAAGGATACCAATGTTTCCTCGATCCTCTTCTTGCTCGCCTCGTCGAGCTGGCTGCTGACATCGAGCAAGAGCTCGGTCAATGCGTGCGATTTGCGCTGCGCTCTTTTACTTGTCAGACAAAGAAGTAGAGCAGATAGGCAATGACATGGACAGACCCTTTGAGGCGATCCTTGCGCTCTAGATCGTAGTGACAACTATGGTGGTGCTTGTCACAATTGCCACAACGCGGACGAGTACCAGAGCATTTGATCTCTGGGTGTAGTCAGCAAGCCGGAGCTGGGCGAGGTATAGACAAGAGTTCAGGCCCACTTCGTTTGCGACATTGAGTGCACTAGCGGAAGTCAGCGCCGGCCCAATCGGAATAGTCAAAGGCCTTTACTTACGGCTTTGCTCACTACTTCGCTGCGGGCTCGAGGGGTTCGTGTGGCGGGCGGGATCTGATAATTCTGGCCGGGTATTCTTGGAATGGCCACCTTTGGCTCCCGGGAGTTGGAGCCCTCCGGCGGATAGCGGCTGTGGTTCATTTCCTCCGCTTGCAGTTATGGTGGTGTTAGAGAGGGGATGAAGAGCGCGTGCAAGACACCGACGTCGCGACCTGAGCCAGCTCGCGCACGGGCACGGTATCAGCCTGATCGAACAAGAGAAGAACTAGGGAAATATGTCGTGGTGACGGAACGGAGCATTGCAGTGCCAGGCGTCTCTATGCGGCGACATATATGGGACTGCCGGGTAGTTCTCGAGTCGAGGAAGGCGCTGATTAGGTGCGGGCATTTGGGCCGTCGCCTAATGAGCGCCTCTGTGTGGGCTACCCAGCGGCGAGATGGCGACGTCATGTTGTGTACAAGTAGGCAGGCTCATAGGCGAGAGGAAAGAACTCCTAGAGCGCTGGACCACACCACATATAACAACAGATTGCAGAACGCAAAGCCACCAGTGTCTGGCAGGTGAGCCACTGTCTATGGACCGGAACTTGCCCCTCTTCAGTCCTCTCAGCCAGCACGCGGCCTCTCTTCGGCGGCGTCCTACTATGAGCCTGCAACATATTGTGGGCGCAGGAGCATGCAAAGCTTGTCGCGGCCGCATCACAAAGGTAGGTAAGGCCGTTGCTGGTTGTGCGCGAGCTACCTAATAAAATTTACCCGGACTTGCACGTAATCTAACGTGTCCAGTGTTCGACCGAACGTCCCCAATGCTCAGAGTGTCGGAAGCGGCACACGCCATGCAACTACGCTCAGCCTCCGGTCCGGCCCGTCGCTACCACGCGCAGACACCATGGCCAGGTGCACTCTGCGGGCACCAGCCGTGCACTCGAGCGTGTCTTCGCCCACCTGCGCACCCGGCCCCTGCCTATCGCCCATGAGACACTTGGCCAACTTCGTCGCGGCACTGACGTGCATGCGGTTCTACGCTTCCTCGAGTATGGCAGCCTCCGCCTCCAGCTCATGCTGGTCCCGGACACGACTTACCAATTCACCCTGCCCTATCTTGCTGACATGATGCCACTGTTTGACGGCACTGACAATCCGTATCTGACCTCGAGGCTGTACAAGGCCCTGTCGCACGAGACTGCACACCATGGCACCGAAATCCAAGAGCAGACATACCACGCTATCTACCACGTGCCCTATCCCGGCGCCCGCATGTATGATCCCCGAATGTCCCCAGACTCCCTGAGGCCCTCGAGGTGGACATCGATCAGTCATGACGACGTTTTTCTTACTCGCCTTCTCGAGGACTACTTCCTCTATGAGTTTCCTCTCTGGCCCTGCTTCCACAAAGACCACTTCCTCGACGACATGACCACTGGAAGAAATGATTATTGTTCACCGCTTCTTGTTAATGCCATTCTCACCGCAGCCTGCGTATGTTCCATCTTTGTCTTCTCTTTCCTTTTCACTGCGAGTTAACACACGGAACAGCACGGAGCAGGCTCGCTCAATCAGAGATCTGAGTTCTGGAACCCCGACACCTACAGCTATCGGTGCTTGGCTGAGACCAGACGGCTGTGGGAGCTGCAACATTCGCAGCAAGTGTATAACCTTACATCCGCCCAAGCAGCCACCATCCTAGGCCGAATTTATTTCGCCAATGGTATGGATGAGATGGGGTGGACGACATGGACATACGCGCTAGAGCTTGCAGATAGACTAGAGTTATTTGCTAAGGCTGCGGAATACAAAACCGAAAAGGATCGCGTTTCAAGAACCCTTACAGCATGGGGCATTTTTTCTCAGCAAGCGTATAAACTTACCCGACCCCTATTCTTCCCCACATGATGTTCTCTGATATAGGTTCAGGTTCTCTTGTTTTTACCTCATGAAGCCCCCACTGTCCCGAATTCCGCCTGAGGATGGCTTACCGGACTATCGAGACGCACAGAATTTCTTTGGCGAGATTTGGGTCAAGTACCCTCTTGCGACACATCTGGTATGTTATAATCTCCGAAGGAGCTAGTTCCTATTGAGTTGTACTCAACACTTAAAGTCTACCCTGAAGGTATATCCTATGTTGTCTTTCCAGTCCTGTTGACGAGCTGCTAGACCCCCATCCATCTGGGTCAGACTTTCCTGGCGCTCATCAAGCTGAGATGCATCATGAATGACATAGCTGGAAAGGCACTCCCAGAAGGCGACAGACAGAACGATCTTGGCCTTCAGCAGGCCGGCCGTTATCACACCATGCTGGTCCAATGGTTCTATGATCTGCCAGAGCCACTGCAATCTCACAATATTGCCATGCCAACGCAACTTCTCTTACAGTAAGGCTTGACTTGTCTCGCATGTGAGAATAACTAACCTTTGTGTCACAGTATGCAGTTTCATAACCTCGTAGCTATGACTTTTCAGCCGTTCCTGCAGCACGAGACCCCTCTCGACCAACCGCACGATAAAGGAGCATTCGAGGTTGATGCCGGCTTCAGCCCAGCGCGATTGTATGCCGCCTCCAAAGCGAGTCTTCAAACGCTTCTCCACATGTTTTACCATCGTCACGGCTTCGAAGCATACTATATCTTTCTACTCCAAATCTTCGTTCAGCTGGGCTTTGACTCGATAGAGCGCCTGCGTACCCCGGAGGCGCGGCAAGAGCATTTCCCGGCCATAATGAAAGCCACCAGAGCTACACTCATACTGTGCGCCAAGGGCTTGCGCGACCAAGGTCGAAACTTTTTTCTATCCGAGCTCGTGTTCCGCATCCTGCGCGATAAGATGAATCCTGTTGATGTGAAGTTGCTCAAGGACTGGGCACGCATCAAGGACGAAGACAAGAGGGAAAAGTCGATGCTAGAGCACGTGCATAGCGAGTACCCTGTGAATGTGCAGTCGATTAGCTCGAATCCTGCTGACCGACGTCTCAATCGGCTGTTGCAGTCTATGGGTGACCTCAAGCTCCCTAACGACACTGCCGAACCAACGCAGCAAGATAGAACATCGAGGACGTGGCGAAGTATCGTATTCTGACCGCGGAAATAAGGCAAATGACAACTACAATCAACATCAAATACAATTCGCAATATACTATTCACAATGCCAGTTATGACGTTGGCCGTCGGCGTCTTGCTCCGCCAATACGCTCATTACCACACGTTCGAGAAACGCTTGAACTTTCCACCTTGACACAAGAAATCTACTCACTAGTGAGCAGTCATTATGCGCGGCATTGCCCACCACTGGTCTTTTGGATTATCGTGGCAAACTCTTACATGCACTTTGCCCGCAGCCGGATCAAACACCGGAGCCAACAGCATGTTCGTATACGCAAGTACATAGCCGGTATCCGTCACAAAACCTTTCCTCCGCCGTTTAACCCCTATTCTGTTGATTCGAATCGAGAAAACTGCAGCGAACTGCAGTCTCAAAATAGCTGCATAGGCGTATCGATGATGTCTCTGCACGTGCGGCGCAATGGCCCAATTCTAGGTCTGAAGTTCCTACCTAAGTAGGAACTGGTCTGAAGACCGGCTGTTTTCGGATGCGGACCGGAATTCTATTACATACGTCGCAATCACAGGGTGTCGCAATCGAGCCATGTCTGTAACGAAGGTTCGATTTAGCACTGTTCTCGATTTCGCGGGCATCGCCCTTCCCCTTAATGGCTTTTCTTCCTCATTTCCAACTTTCTTTCGCGCTTGTCAGCGATTCGCTGAAATATGCTGCCATCGTATACTGCGCGAATATCCTCCTTGTCGTTGTTAGCATCGGGAGTAAACCAATAGATGATCCGATATATTACACACCTTCATCATCCGACCGTCTTCAGGCCAAAGCGTGATATAAGTCGCAGTCCCTATCCAAGGTTAATATTCTCTCACGCCGCTCAAGAATGGACAATGCTTACATTCGAAGATGAAGCCACACATTCCGATCGGATCATTGATATTCCTCTGCCCCTTCAACACATTCACCAAGTCTCCAACGGTTAAATAGTCTCGTCCATCGGCATATTTTGTAAAAATTTCTTCGAACTTCGAAGGGATGAACCTTCCTTCGGCGTCGTACGTGCCCGTATCGCTGCCGTGCCTCGCTCTATGCACATTGTGCAAGAATAGACGGAAGAAAGGATCCGGAAGCCATCCTGAGCACGTGGGATACGAAAAGTTAATATGGATGACCAAGACGGCGAAAGCAGAGAAGAAAAGCCCGCAGCCTAGGCGGTAAAAACCGACGAAAGTGTCTTGTGGCCAGAGAACACCATCATGATCGCGGTCGAAGAAATCGCAGTGTTGTTGCAGGACTGTTTGATGCGAGTGCTTCTTTGCCCAGTCGTCTTGCGTGCTGCCTTCAGGCGATTCTTCTGACGGGGCGAGGTTTGCGCGCGCAACCGCTATTTGCAATTAGTACAATGGCGTAGTAGCAACACGCTTATTCGTACCTGCGTGTTGTAGACGAGAGTTTTTGCTACTGATATATGGTTTCCTTTCTTCGGTGATGGGTACGTCGTGGATCGAGTAGACAGGTACCCTGTCGTCTTCCCCACATTCCGCATGTCCATTGACTTGGTCCATTTTTGCAATCATAACGGCAACTTTTTCGGTGGTAAATTAGAAAAGTTCTCAAGAGACAAAAGACAGCAAGATCAAAAGAAATGCTCTAGCTGTTCGCCCTTTTGCTGCCACGAAGACTGAGCCGCATGTTCCTATTGGATCAAGGGCTCACCATGACGTCAATGACTCTGGAAACGGTCTTGGTATGGCAGTGCAACATGTCAAAAGCGTTTCGCAGGATTGTGGGCTATGTTCAGGAACATCAAGTCTTCACTGGCGTCAGTGTGATGTGTGCATCGTGGCAATGGGGGCACGCATGTGCGCACATGTCACTCGTTGTTTTGTGGCTATCCTTCGAGATGCAGTTCCGCGGCCAATCATTGGAATGCAACCCTGCTCCTCAACCGCGCCCTGGCTTGATCTTCAGGCACGCATCAAAATTAGACCACTCGCAAACACCCTGCATACCTATGTATACTGTCTGTGTTAGTTTTACTCCATGCTTTGTACACCAAGGTCATGCCAATACATAAGACATCTAGGTTGGTCATCATGCTCAAAGCGCATCATCTTCCGGAGCTACTCTTCTAGCTGATATATAGTAGAAGTAAATGATACCTCACCTTGATGGGGTGGAAAACTCGATATGCTTGAGCGTTCCGCTTTAGACTTGAGTTACTCAAAAGAAGCAGATGCTCATATAAGGACGATCAACCGCATGTGCTGCTTACATATATCTTGATGTGGTGAGGTTAATTTGATGGTTGAAAGGTCGCACCGTTGATTAACACAGTGAGTCCGATTCGGCTAGCGCGATCTCGTGGATGAATGACGCGCATGCACGGGACCGCGGGAACACGCGCCTTCTAGATGTCGCGTCTGCATCGCATTCCTCTATTCAGGATGCAGCTCCACTAACGCGATACCGGGCTACACGTTGCCCTTGTCAAAGATTGCCTCATTCATCTGATGTGAGTCGTCATCCGCCATGTCGTCACCATCGCCCGAGTTCCATTCGTCGCAATTCTCGATAACCTCGCCGCGTCGCATACCCAAGTCCGCGTTTACGTATAAGCAGCTGCACCAGCTCAAGACGTACAACCCCCAGACACCCCTCCGCGTCATCGCGCACGTCGACCTCGATGCCTTCTACGCGCAATGCGAAACCGTCCGCCTTGGCATCGATCCCTCCAAGCCCCTCGCAGTCCAGCAATGGCAGGGCCTCATAGCAATCAACTACCCCGCACGCGCATTTGGACTAAGCCGGCATGTCACTTCGACGGAAGCGTTGAAGCAATGCCCCGACCTAATACTACAACATGTCGCGACATGGAAGGAGGGCGACGAGAAATGGGCATACCATGAAAATAGCTTCAAGGACATGGCGACGCACAAGGTCAGCCTGGACCCATATCGCATGGAGAGTCGCAAGATTTTGAAATGCATAAAGGATGCTTTACCAGAAAAGGAACAACGCGTGGAGAAAGCAAGTATCGATGAGGTCTTCATGGATCTGAGTGCGCAAGTGTACACGATATTGCTGGAGAGATATCCTGAACTGAGAGGACCCCCGCCATACGATGACTCGTCAGAACGACTGCCCAAAGTACCTACAACCGTCTTGGACTGGGCGGCTGACGCGCTTGTTGAGACAGGTGAAGAAGATGGAGAAGACAGGGATCCAGATTGGGATGATGTGTGCATGGTCATCGCATCCGAGATTGTACGAGATGTGAGGAAACAGATCAAAGACACACTGGGTTATACGTGCTCTGGGGGAGTCGCAAGGAACAAGATATTGTCAAAACTAGGATCAGGGTACAAGAAACCAAATCAACAGACCGTTATCCGGAACCGCGCTATCGAGCACTTTCTTTCCGATATGAAATTTACCAAAATCCGAATGCTAGGAGGCAAACTAGGAGATGAGGTCGTCGCAATGTTTGGTACGGATAAAGTCAAGGACCTTGTGGAACAGCCATTGGATCAATTGAAAAAGCTAGGTGATGACACAGGCAGTTGGATATACTCCATCATTAGAGGTGAAGATAATAGCGAGGTCAATCCGCGTACTCAGATCAAAAGCATGCTTTCGGCAAAATCCTTCAGACCCGCTATCAACTCGTTCGAGCAGGGTGTGAGGTGGCTGCGCATCTTCGTGGCCGACATATTCTCACGATGCGTAGAAGAGGGTGTGCTAGAGAACAAGAGAAGACCCAAGAGCATCAACCTGCACCACCGCCAAGGTGCGCAAACGCGGAGTCGACAAGCACCGATACCCCAGGGCAAACCACTATCAGAAACCATACTATTCGATCTCGCCAAAAATCTATTGGCTCAAGTAGTCGTTGATGGGAGAGCCTGGCCATGTGCTAATCTCTCCTTGAGCGTCGGAGGCTTCGAAGATGGTATCACGAACAACAAAGGCATCGGTGGTTTTCTAGTTCGGGGTGAGGAAGCAAAGGCCATGATGTCGACTGGTAGAGCTATAACTGGTGGAGGCGAACCACCAGCAAAGCGAAGAAGGACAAAAGGAAACATTGCCAACTTCTTCGGCCCAAGAGACGAGAAGAAGAAAGATTTTGATGCAGCGAGGGCAGTACTCTGGAGAACACATAGCGAGTCCACGCGAGATGAAAGTGGGGACGAGGCAGAAGAGACAGGGGAAGATCACGATCCATTCAGCGCACAACAAAGTCATGAATTAGACCGACCTTCAACGCCAACGCTGGAACGCCAAAGTTCGGATATAAATCTTTATGCCATAGGAACACCGCCCTCAGCCCAACCTCAGCCTGCTTCCCCCTCTCCACCACGACCACAGAACCACGACCCAGTAACACCAGTCCCTCATTCCAGACCTATAGCCCAGCAAAAATCCGTCGACACATATTTCTGTTCTCGTTGTAACCTCCACCTTCCACCGGCGGACAAGCCCGAACACGAAGACTACCACTTTGCGCTCGATCTGTCAAAGGAGATGCGGCATGAAGAGAGAAATCCCCCTACGCTCTCTGCAAGAAAAGGTGTAGGTGGATCGAAGCCTTCCAGAGGGCGGGGACGACCGCCGGGAAGTGGAAGAGGAGAAGCGGTTGAGAAGGGGCAGGCGAAGCTAGCTTTTGGGAAAGGAAGTTGATAGTTGGGGGTGTTTACGATACGTCAACGTCAACGTTTATGATGATACCTACTGTTTGAGAATCAATGTTTCATACGTCGAGAACTTGTACATAATTCTGCTGTCATCCAGCTTAAAGAGACGTCGTTGACACATGCGCATCATATTAGCGGTCATATGCTACTACATATATTGACCAAATGAGCACGCTTATATTGGTCATTCGGTTGGATTGACTACACAACCTCAAAGTTCAGCCTTACCCACGGCATCTCCTCGCTCCCTTCTGGCATCCTATACGTGAAGTTCCAAAACTCAAAGTCGCTATGTTAGGTTAGCATATAGCCTTCTCTCTGTGTGGACGGTAGTCCTGATAGAACTTACTTGATAACCTCACCAGCTCCGCCAAACAGCCCATTGAATGTAACCTCGGGTTCTAGATCCACAGATCCGGTAACATTGACTTGAACACCCTCTACATCCGCCCAACCTGCTACATCCCTCTTACCGTCCCAGCCGTTCGTTCCCACCAAGAAGGAAAACGCACTTGATGCATTCCCCACCGGATACTCAAGTTGCAAGCTTCCCTCTTCAACCACCACATCCAAAGCCATGCTCTGAGCATATAAACTCATCCAGCCCACACTACCGTCCTGTCTCTTCCACTGCACGACTGCTGGATTGAAAGAGTTCTGGTTTTTAGCCGGGCCGCCGACGACAGTTTCGTTGAAGGATTCAGCACCGATGGTCAGATTAGGGGAGAGGTAAGCCGTGATATTTCGGGGCTCAAAGTCGTACGGTGGAGAGAACGCGGAGGTCCTAACAGTATGTGTGCCTGGAAACTTGGACAGAGATGAGAGCGTGGCGTTTGGAACTAGCGTGTTATGGTAGGGCGCCAGAATGGCGATTAGAGGGCCAATCGCGAAGTCATCCTTGTGACCCATGGCGTATGGCTGGAAGAGTGTTAGCTCTCTCCCTCTCATATAATCTCTGACTTTGTCATGTGTAGGAGATATGATAGAAGGGAAACGGAAATGGTGCTTCATGCATACTTTCTTGTTAATAGGCGCCATCTCCTTACCCACAAGCGTCCACATTTGCAGCGCCAAGATACTGAGATACTTGTTCATGTCGAACCCATAGGCACGATCCCACGGCCCAGCCACATTCTTCATGTCCGCATGATACAATTCGCCCAGTACAGACCAGGTATCGCGAAGCATTCTTGGTCCATACTCGCCCATCAGACTGTCGTTTGGCATATACTTCGCCCAAAGCGTAAGCGCAAACAGCGAAACACCAGCGTAGGTACCAGAATTGAACTCGGAAAGTGTGTTGTCTCGGACAAACAAGTCGATGATTTCTTTCGCGTAGTTTTCGCCTGCGATCGTCATGTTGGAGTCGTTGGCACGGCGACCGACGTAGCCAGAGACGAAGGCGCGCATGATGGAGGGGTTGCTGTAAGCCGGGTAGAGATTATCGTCGTCGACGCCGCCAACACGGTAACTGTCTCCGATGGTGGTGTTGAACAAACTTTCCAGCATGTAATCCTGGACATCTTGGGGGAGTAGATGAGGAAATTCCTCTAGCATGACGACGAAAGTTGTGCCAATGAAGCCGCGCCAGTTGGGATCCCACGAGTTGTAGATCTCAGCTGGGTATTGTTCTGTACCTACGGCTGGCTCCTCTGGATATTTTTGGTAGTCGCCAAACCTTGGGTTATGTTAGTAACAGTATCTAGAAGAGGAATTGAATGACCTCTTTTGCTGCAAAACTCACCATTGTTGACTTTCGTTCTTGAATTGCCCTCCGATGACATTCTTCACGATCCGTACTGCCTGCTCAACGTCATCGGCTTCGTTTCGCGCCAATAAGCCAGCTGCATACCAAACGCTCGCTCTGGTCTCGTGTGTCAGAGCAGCAGCGTCCAAGCTGAACAGGTATGCTCTTTCATCATCGTAGTACATGTCCATCCAGTCCATCGACTCATGTAACAAGCCCGTCGCATACGTTTCCGTATCATTGCGTGAGACTAGACTACCACGAGCAAACACATGCTCAGCTAGGAGCGCCGAAGCCACCCAGAGCCTTGAGATCCCAATCATGCTGGATGTCGCGAAGAGCAGAAGGTAGAGAGTTTGGCACGCGACATGACGCTGGCCATGATGCAGCTGCAGTGATTGCGGGCCAAGCGTAGCATTACGGTAGTTTCTCCGCTATGTTTACATGAAAGCCGAGGGCTTCGGCATATGCTACTGCGAGATAACGGTGACTTCGGCCTTGTTGTTCTATCGCGGTTGTGTTAGGGCCGGATAATTGTGTTGCTAGCGGGGGAAACTGCGGGATTCAGATGCCAATGTGGAAGGCGAGGCTATGACTCGTGGTCACAGATGTGGCCACAGATGTGACAAAACAGCATGACTAACCAAGCTTTCAAGTCGCGGTCTCTGCCGCGATGTGGCTTGTACAGCTCGTTCTAACGAGTAGATTAGACGGTTCCGTGTCTCCTAGATTGCGCGACTAGCTTTCAGAGATCTAACCATGTGGTAACAGAAGGGCCGAGCCGCTTCACCTGCTAAACGTGATGAATCGTAACACCCTGCGAGGCTGCACGATTGCCTTTGACTCTAGACGTGACGAGGCTTCATGAGCCCGCGCAAGTCATAGATTTTTGACCATGGCCTTGTGTTTCAGAAGATACGGACATAACCTTCAGCCTGAGCATATGCACTGCCTCACGTGAGTACGGACAGACTTGAACAGACTTCACTTATAACACACGGCATAACATCGACAGGCACAGTCCGGCTGTCGGCATGAGATCTGCGACAGTCATGTGGGAATAAACTGGAAATGGCGCAAGAGGATTGCCGTAGCGTACTGATGATCGTGTCGATCGGCGGGTAGAGGCTGAACGAGAGATCATCACGGCAAATGCAAGTCATTGTGGCGTTGGGCATGTTGTAACAAGCAAGCTGAGAATCAGTTCGAAGAAGCCTTGACACAACCTGAGTGACAGTGGTGGCTTCACCGCGAGGCTAGAGAGAGCACATCGAGAAAGACGAAACTGAAGCGTTAGCGCAGTGAGTGGGACCGAGAAGCGTCTGGTCGCAACCCGGTACGTGATCAAAATCGCATAGGCGAACACAGTGATGTTTCCTTCTACGCATGCTGTGCATGCGCAGATAACCGTTCATTCGTAAACATCGACTTCGTGGAGCAACGTCCGTGTCGTAGGTATATACATAGCAAGAAAAGCAGAATCCGGAAATTGATGCATTTGCATGATAGTGATAGCCATAAGCGGAATGAATGTCCCGATAGAGGCTATAAGATCCATGGCAATAATTGGTTCCGCATCCCGCAGAGCAAAGATCCAGTCGTATGAGGAGAATGAGAAATGAAACCCAATTTCCCAATTAACGTACATAACATCAGACACAAAAGGAAAACCGGAAAGTAAATGCTCCTTTGGGCTGCTCAACCGGGCTGGAAGAGGTATAGGTCCATGGCTTGAGATCCTAGGGAAACAAATGTCTATCCGGATGCTTTTGGTAATGGCAAACTCCTTACGGTACCCGGATGGTAGAAGATGGATCCATTAAAAAATTAGGTTGGCCAGACTCCAGAGCACCATCCAGTAGCTTGGAAAGAAAGGGTATCTCCGGGCGCGATATATCGACGCAGGAACAATAACAAGGCCGTAAGACGGAGATGTACTCTATCTCGTACTGTACCTAGAGGTGCCGGACTGTGGATTGCGCGATGATTGTGGCTGTTGCGATAGGGGATATTCTACACAAGACATGTCAGTTGTGGAGTAGCGCAACGACCCAAATCACTTACGACGACCATCCGAGGCAATGTAGTAGCCAGGAGCGGCTGCTGCGGCACTAACTGGGGCTTAGCGATAGACCAAATAGGGTTCGTCATAGTAACCAAAATACCTTGGATTAGAGTATGGAGTCGTCTGGGTAGCCGGCTGGCGTCCATATGGATCTGGAGTCTGCGCTGGGTAAGAGGAATAAGCAGACTGCGCAGGGTAATCCCTTCCACTAGGCTGCTGGTAAGATGAGTATGGATCCGCTGGCTGAGTCCTGGGTGCAGCAGAAGCAGGTGAAGTCTGGTATCCTGGATGCGAGCTTCCATACACGGATGTGGGAGTCGTCGTGTAATGGGGATCACTGCTACCATAGCCTGAAGACGCATACGTCGTCGCTCTAGACGACGTTGACGACTGGCGAGGAGGCTGATCATAGGGATCCGCCGCCGCATGAGACGAGCCGTGTTCGTACGGTTTCGTCGGACCCCAATGCTGACGAGCAGCATGTGTACGAGAGTCCTGATAAGCCACTAATGAAGCGTTAGGGCCCCCTGGTTTAGTAGTGCGCACTTGAGGACTATGGCTACCTCCACGTCCAATTTCGCCTGGCTGGCGTTCCTGTTGCCAACGTTGTGAATCCATTTTCAAATCCTGTATCATTTGCTAGGGAGACGGGTTAGCCTTGTGCGCGACCACGGTCCGATGGCGACTCAACATACCGATGTGAGAGTTCGATAAGCGGTTATCCAGTAGCCTGGCTGGCCCTATGTGAGAGTTAGTCTTCCGTAGAGGTGGCGTTGGAGAGAGAAAATAAGTGCGGACCTGGTACTCTCCGGTGCCTGTGCCAGGCCTGACGAGCGCATCTGGGCCCAAGTAGCGCTGGATGTCGGCCGTGATGACTTCTCTCGCGATTCCATCGCCAGGCACAAACCACTGATTTGCGCGCGACATGGTTACTGAGATGCGTGTGGAAAGGGGACGAAAAGAAAGATGACAGTGATGTCAATGCCAGAAATGGGGCCAAGCTATGGGAGCTAAGATAGAGGGGCTCTAGGCACCAAGGTTACGGGCAAAACAGGTGGGTGTCCGAGGTCTATGGTGTCCAGAGAGATTCCAGAAGAGATATGTTCAGCGACGCAGGACGCAGAAGCGGGGTTTTGACCAATATACTGGCTCCTTAGGGGGGTCTGGCCTGTGA